CTATCGATGGATGACGTCATAACTATAGTCCTTTTCAGCAGTGCTGACCCTGAACTCCGAAATTTACACCAGTCTCTGAGTGACGTTATTAAATCAGCGTATGATTGGTCAATTACCCTCATGAGGAGGCGGCATTTAATTGGTTGCTGCTAATAATGGCGTCATCACTAAAAACCGTCTTTTACCTACAAATGATATGAGCTCCGATTTTATTTGAATGAAAGGCAATATTTACAGCACACGTACATTCGTTGTATCAATAGTTTTAAGTATCAATTGGACGTTTGGACGATTTCTGCCCCTTTGTCTTTTTTTTCTTTTTTAAATTTCTTAAATTCTTCGTGGAAGTTTCCAGCGTGCAAGTCTCTTTCTTTGTTTTAGCGATACGTGTTCTTGAAGTAATTATAGTTCTAAAAAACTTCTACTTCTTTTTTTTTGGTGGAGCGGAAAAATAAACATAAAGGTAAATCAAATTAATGTAAAATAAATACAATGACTCAGCTACAGAGTAGGTCTTATACAATAATCTATACAACAAAGAGGCATTTATTTAAAGTTCGAGTCTCTTGATTCCTTGAAAAAAACGAGTACGATTTTCTGAAAAATTTTACCGAAATAGTTGAAAGTTGATGTTTTGCGAGTTGGGCGAATTCTAATTTTCTAGCGGAAAAATTAAGTTCATTTAGATGGATTGATGGAATTTTGAAGAAAATTCCTTTTTCGAAATTTCATTTGTCTCTGCTTTCACGGTAAAAATGCAGAGTAAGAGGCAAGTAAACAAAAGAAAAGCGAAAAATTCATCACTGTGGTCGGGGTAAGTTGTCAGCATTGACTTGCGACTGGTGGGATAACGTTTTCCGCCTCGCGCAATGCCATGAGCGCGACGAATATCAAAACGCCTTCACTTTTTACATAGGCAACCCGCACACTAATCAAGTTCGAATAGTTGCATCCTAGGCGCTAAAACCGATGTCGCATCAACAGCTACGCCTCTGGGGCCTTTTTAAGGCCGGAACCTTGAAGCTTTGGCCTCTGAAGCACCTTGGTTTATCGGAGATCTATTATAGACCCCTCCTCCAACCTATCTGAAGTTTTTCGCACTATGATAACAGAGACGGCTTTTGGATTTTCGCAGTCCTTTGAACACACCGATTTAAGTCTACTCAGGTCTTCACTTTACACCACGATACTGCCTTCTTTACTATGGTTTCGGTTTCAAAATATAATTTTCCTTCACGATGCTGCCTTCTTTACTACGGTTTGGGTTTTAAAATGTAATTTTCCTTCATTTTACGGAAATTGTTTCCTATTCGACTGTAAATTACTCGTAACTTGTTAAAAGCGGAAAAAATTGAAACAATAAACCGATCCGATTATAATCATTCTTTTAGAATTGCGCAAATCAGCAAGTATATTAATCGATGGTATTTTTATTGAGGTTTAAGGGTATTCTTAAATGTGCATTTCCTCTTATCATCAGAAAAAGCAGAATTTGTATCCTGAGAATAATTAAATTAAAGAATATCTAACAGTTTTGTAAATATTCCGTAAAGTAGGAGGACAAATCACTTACGAGGAAATATACATTCTTTTATATGCAGAATGCTACTTGATCAATTCTGGTGAAAAACTAACTTGATTCTTGTCCATTTTTCAATGTGAAAATTTTCAAAGTTTAATTCTGATTATCCTCGATCTTATCGCGATAAAATCGCGCTTTTATCGCCCGAAAATTTATCGCGATCTTTTCGAAATAAAAATCGCGATAAATGACGATTTTATCTCGATTTTAACTTCGAAAATTGATCAGGATATTATCGAACATACAATTGCGATGTGTAGCGATTTAATCGCCATATATCGCAATTTTTAATGCGATAGTATCTCGATATATTGCCACCGATATAATCGCGATAACCAACCGATAAAATTGCTATTCATCGCGATCACTGCTACTTCTGATGTTCGAAAAAGGTGGTCATGGAGACAAGACCATATCATACATAATTACATAAGGCTTCGCTTTTTAATGAGCAACAGGTGGTTGAAGCCGTCTATTTATAATTTCACCTGAAACCCTGAAACAACGTTATCTTTTTTTGTATGAGCGCGTATTTTTAAATATTAAATATAGCCTCGGAATTTTGTTGATAGAAACCTCGACGTCACTGAGCGTTAGTCAGGAAGTTCATCTATAAATAAAGTTCTATAAGTATTTAAATTGGTTCTAAATATACGTTTCAGATTGCAAACGGGTTGGCGGGTCAACTTTCGCACCGCGGTCTGCTGAAATTCGGCCCTAATTGCTCACGGGTGCAGAAGCAATATTTGAGGGAGCTTCACAATCCGTCTTAATCCTCTAAAATGAACATTGAAAAGTATATAAAAGTTCCGAGTTCCCTCTGTAGACAGCGTCTTTTTTTCTTGAGGGATTGAAAATACTCACTTTCACTCGCGTCAAAACTTCGGACAATCTGAGATTATTATTGTCCTCCAAAATATCCTTGAGGGTTTAATTTTTTCTCTCATCAGCATGCGTCTTAAACTCACAGCAATCGGGGGGCCTTAAGCACAGTAAAGATTTTATGATTTTATGAGTAACCGGTTAGATGGGAATGCACAAGACAGAAGCTGAAAACACGGAATATTTAGCTTTTTTCGTGGAGTTATGTGGTTAAAAAAAAGAAAGAAACATTCTTGTGAACGTAATGGACGCCTTCTTTTCAATTTATTTAAATGCAAGACTTAATGATCACTGAATTACCTTATTCTATGTCATGTAAGTATCAGGCAATAATAGAGACGAGTAACATCTCTCAAAAATGAATATTATTCGTCGGGGAAAAGTTGGCAAATTTTCACTTTTCGCACGGCGTCCTTCTTCACCGGGGCAATATCAGTAATGTGACGTGCTTTGTGATACATCGATTGATCTTCCATTTAAATCTATGGAAAAGGATCAATATACAGGGTGTTTATAATCGATTCTTAACCATTACTACGAATGGGAGAAAATCAGTAATCTATCATTCACGCTTCGTCATTGGACAACACAGCATTTTCATGACGACCTGACCTAATTTAACTGTTGAACTTCGGCAGAAACAAGAATTTGGAAAAAAAAGATGTTGTTAGAGAAAATCCAAACACCATTCAGTGCTCCTGGATTTTAGATTATTATTAGTTTGCATTTTATGTCGGTGCATTTATTTCCTTACTTGACACCCAACATACAACAACATGTCATGCATAACATAGGATTTTTTATTTCATCCATTAGATACAAAATTCGGATGGATGGAAAAGCTAGAAAAACTAAAATTACCAAAGGTAAAACTGTTCAAAAAGATTCCATAAGTAGTTTGACTATCTAAGTCATAACACATAGACTTAGATAATCAAACTATGGAATCTTTTTGAACAGTTTTACCTTTGGTAATTTTAGTTTTTTTAGCTTTTCCATCTATCCGAATTTTGTATCTAATGGATGAAATAAAAAATCCTATGTTAAACATAGACCTATATGTCCTATGTCCATGTCTCTTGATTATCGTCTTCCCAAGATTTTTTGTCATTAAGTACTTTCTGCGATGCGCATTTCGAATCCTTCGCTTGATCCATCCTTAGGCGACTATTTATTATCAGCGTTATAAGTTTATGCACGTTATGGGTTTTCGAAACTATACATGCAAGTTCTGTACATGAACGACATATGAATAAAAATAAGAAACAAAAACGAAAAATGCAAAACTAAACTAAGCTAAAACGTTTGTGAATGTATTAAATGTGACGCGAATAATAACTTGACCGCGTTAAGCAGAAAGAAATCAAGCCACATCTGCAGCTATTACCCAATGTGATTGGGCAATTTAATTTTTTACGTGAAAATGGTTGTGTGAATTTTGTGCAAATTGAAGTGAATTTCTTGAACATTGCAAATTCCCTAAAATTTTTCAAAGGAATCTGCACAAACGTCCTCTTGTAATAAATTGAATTTATCGGATATTTAGATGATATGGCTCGGTTTCTTTCTGCTAAACAAGGTCCAAATAGTGGCCTGAAGATGTCTTAAGCGCAAGATCCAAAATGCGCATCACCTGAGGTAATCACAAAAAATCAAGTAAAAGCACTCCTGCGGGCTGATTGTTGAAATTGATAGACAAGGCTATAGACACAGAGGACAATAGGGATTTGGAGGGATCCTATGGGTGGAAGGGGGTGGTTGAAATAGACAAATAAGAAGGTAGGTATAGACTAACTAACGGCAACCCACGAAAGATCCTATAGTTATTCCATCATTGTATCCTTTCGTCGACAGGAACCAAGTAATTCAACCAATTGGAGTGGTCCATATTCCCTACGTCTCCTTTATCTATAGCTTTGTCTATCAATTTCAACAATCAGCCCGTTGGAAGTGAAGATGGAGGGGTAGTGGATCCTACGGGCAGTGTAGCCGAACATTTGGACCGGTTGTTTGGTCCAGAATGATTGGTCCAAAACAGGAGTCTCATATCAGTCTGACCTACTAGCTCCGGGGCAAGAATCCAGAGAGAAAAGACGTTGCCAGAGAAGGTGATTATTGGCATAGATAGTCAAAGCTATAGACAGAGAAGAAAAAAGGGATATGGAAGGATCCTATTGGTGGAAGCTGGTGGTTGCAATGGACAAGAAGGTAGGTGATGGACTAACTAACGCGGCAGTCGACAAAGTGTCTTTAGTCAGGCCATCGTCTTCTATCTTAGTTTGTAACAATCACCTGTTTCAAACGATAGGATCGCTGCATAATTCCTCTATCAACGGTGTAAGTCGGCAATCACATAACTCGTTTTGTGAACGTCGCAGACTTCCTATCAAACTTTATTTTTTAAATGGAAAACTACTCAACGGACATTTTTCAAAACTGCCGTGATTTTTCTTCTCTGTGCGAAGATAATTCTGCAAAAACTTCAAGGAATGATGTCAATTTGTTCTCCTTTAAAAAAATAACAAAGAGGCGGAGATTTTCAGACACTGCAAACGAGTTATGTGATTTCCGACTTACACCGTCCATATCTTCTAGGTCTATCGCTTTGTCCCTCAAATTCAAGAATCAGTCCGCTGGATTGATAAGTCATCAGCACTGCTGGAATTGAAGGTGGAGGGGTAGTGTGTCCTATGGGCAGTGTGGCCGATCATCTAGACCGGTTGTTTGGTCCAGAATGATTTGTCCAAAACAGGAGTCTCATGTCAGTCTGAGCTCCTAGCTCCGGGGCAAGAATCCAGAAAGAAAAGACGTTGCCAGAGGACTTGGATTGATTAATCATCAGCACTGCTGGAGTTGAAGGTGGAGGGGTAGTGGGTCCTGTGGGCAGTGTCCTCGATCGTCTGGACCGGTTTGTTGGAGGTGGGCGTCTTGTTCCTGTACGTGGTGCCGGTTTGCTTGCTCCATTTGGACTTGGACTGGTAGCTCTTGTCGAAGAGCCGACACAGCTCCCGCTTGAACTTGGGGTTGGTGATGGCGTAGATGTAGGGGTCAGCGCAGCTGGCCGTCTTGCAGAACAGCGCCGGGATCATGGACACGTGCGGGGACAGATACTCCGTCTGTCTCAGGATCCCGAGAAGGGCGACGATTGCGTAAGGCGTCCACGAGACGAACCACAGGGCGATCACGAATATCACCACTCCGGCTAGCCTGCAACATTTGCAAAATTCATCCAAATCAAATGCTAAATCTTAGGAGTATGGACCAAAGACATAAAGACGGAGTGTTTTACACTGGAATAAAAAAACACATTAGATCTAGAGTCCAGACGCTTAATAACATTGACAAGAAAAAATACTCTTGATTCAATCGGAGTTTTGCTTGCATCAAAAGGAAATCCGCTTAATTTAAGAAGCTTGGTTCTTGATTTAAGCTGGATTCTGATTGGTAAAGCAAAAAATGAAGCTACTTTTCAACCACCTCTACTACTGGCTAGAAGACTGGCGGCGAAATCGGGACAAGTTTGAAATTCAAATGTAAGGCGGGAACTGAATAAAATGACTTAAATAAAGTATTCTAGGTTGATTTTTGCCCAACTTCACCTGCCCACATATATTTTTTTAACTTTCGGTTATTATTGGTCCGTCATCGACCAATTAATTTCATTTTGGAGTAACGGTCATCTAGGACTGTAACGGCCTGACCACCATGAGCAAACGAAAAACTAACTTTATCTGAGATGCTTGCTAGTTACCGAACCAAAATAGGTGTATTATAAAAATTCACAGTTCCAAGTTTCTATTTTATCCGTTTTAGGCATTTAAAACACGTTTAGAAGAAGAAATGTGGAAAAATCAAGAGGACAAGTTCAAATCAAATTTCTGTTTGCCGCCATGGATTCCCGCGCTTATTTACACACTCACACAAGCAACCAGCGCCAAACTAGGCTTCACTTTTTCCCCGTGCTTTTAGATACGAGCACTGCAGCCATGCCCCCCGGTACGAAAGGACTCTTTGACGAACCTGAGCTCGACTCTACGCTTCTCCTTCTCCTGGCCGAAGCGCGGGACGTTCTTGGTGCGGACGACGGCGAAGCAGATGCTGATGTAACAGAAAGTAATGATGGTGAAGGGCACGAGCCAGGCAGCGACGAAGAAGACGAGGATGAAGAGGCGGCTCTTGAGGTCCTGGCTGAGGTAGTCGAAGCTGCAGGCGGTGAGGTAGCCCTCGGGCACGTAGCGGTTGAGCCCGACGTCGAAGAGCGGGATGGAGGCGAAGAAGAGGCCGTACGCCCAGACGAAGGCGACGCAGGCCCGCGCCCTCTGCCGCGTCGTGTTCTTGAACGGGTTCAGAGGGTAGACCACCACCAGGTAGCGGTCCAGCGCGATCGCCGCCAGCGTCATGATCGAGACCGTCCCGGTCAGCCCGCCCATGAACCCGTAGATCTGGCAACCTGCAACACAAGAACGGATCCAAGTAAGTGGGCATCCGGGGAACGGGCATAGGGAAAACGGACGTTTCTATCAAACAGAACTATGCGCAAGCGGAAAAGATGCGGTGTGCTTGTTAGTGCTCGGGCCGTAAGAATGAATGGGAAATAATAAAGCGTCAGTGACGTCAGCGGCAGTGGCGTAGTGTGATTTGCGATGTATCGATTGTTTTGCCATTTAAACCTATGGTAAAGAATCGATTATTAAGATGTTCGGTGCGAATACCCTATTTATTGATTCTTTACCATGGGTTTAAATCAGTTTAAATGGCATAACAATTGATACATCGCAAAGCACGCCACGCCATTGGTCAGCGTCAACCACGAGAGGAACGACGATCGGGAAAGCACTCTTAAACTTATGAGCCCTGTCCTAGATACTGTCCTAGCTCTAGATACATGCCCACGGCTAATGGGTGCCGCATTTAGTTGGCTAACATTTCCGTTTGCTGATTTGGAGAAGCGAGATTTCACGTTCTGTCAAACGGAACTATGTGCACAATGTATGAGCCGTAGGCATGTATCTAGAGCCTCGTGGACAGGGCTCAAGAGTTAAAGACCACCTTACCGATCCTCGTTGCCGCTGACGTCACTGGCGCTCTGCACGTAGAAAAAAACTTCGTGCATGGGACTGGAAGTTGAGGTCATATGGATCTCTGAAGTTTTCTAAACACGCATCCGAAAACTTGAGTCAAGCTGCAGAAGTTCGGGTCAGACTTCGAGGCACTTCGGTATGTACCGCGGGGTGCTTCAGATGTGTGACCCGAACCCTTCGGTATACATCGAAGTACTTCAGATGTCTGACTCGAACTTCAGCAGCTGGACCTCAATATTTTAGATACGTGATCCGAAAACTTCAGAGATCCATATGACCTCAACTTCGGGTCCCGCACGCATGAAGTTATTTTCTCCGTGTGTATTTCTCATTCATTCTTATGGCCCGAGAACGAACGAGCACACCCCATCTTTCCCCTGCGCACAGTTCTGTTTGATAGAAATACGTCCAAATAAAGGAGATGGTCGCGTTTTGAGGATCTGTATACCCCGTGACTTGGTATCCCAGTGGAAGTCCACTTCGTGGAGAGAGTATTGACCCCGCGCGGCGAAAGGTGAGTTTGTGTCACGTGCGACAATCTGCGAAGAATGGGGTTCCCGAAAATTGCCTTTTTCGCTTCCTTCTGCACGGGCTCACGCGAAGCGGCGGCAGGAGACGGGGCATGGACATTGGTCCACCTCCCGCCACACTAGGTCGACTTCTACTTCAATGGAGCTTTTACATGCGTGAGAGATTTGCGATTTAAGTGGTTGTACTCTCGCATAATTTTGCGAGTAACACGATGGTGCCACTGGTTTCCTCTGAAATCAACTCCTAAGCTTAAAAAAAGCTCTCAAAGTTGAGGCGGTTATGGAGAGGATATCCCCCGCATTCCCATGCTACCCTGAGATAGAGTACCTTCATACGGAGAGTATGGCCAATTCGGTTTCCACCTATATGATTGGCTCAGCCGTCCTAGGCTGATAGGAGCCTTTTTAGACCCAAAAATGGTGGACGCTATAAGTTAATATAATTAAAAATGACTCAAAATGTAGTTTTCTATTTACTTTTTCTACCCTACAGTACTATTGTGACTTATTTACATGAGTTTTACGGCTAATCGTGTGCAATTTTTTAGAAAAATCATCGTAGTTGTGAGATTGGCAGCAAGCGCGGTTGATGATAGCCTTCAAAAGTTGGCAATGACCCCTCTCCCATCCTCAAAAACCATAAAAAAGCACCGCCATTTTTGGGTCCTCAGCCCCATGAGGCCCAGAGGGGCCCTATTAAGGCACTCTACCCCGAGAATCCACTTCTATGTCTTTCTCTCCATGCAAAGGTAGGGAGCGAATACATTAGCAGGGTTGCCGTGTTTTCAGTTTTGGAGTCCCCAAATAAAGTGGCAACCCTGTTAATGTATTTTCTCACTTTCTTTGCATAGAGAGTTTGTCTTGATATAGAGGTGGGACTCTCAGGGTAGCATGGGATATTCCCTGTATTAAAGTCTCAACTATGAGAGCTTTTTTTGAGCTTTGGAGTTGATTTCAGACAGAACCAGTGGCACCGTCGTGTTTCTCACAAAATTTTACGTGGGTAAAAGTACTTAAATCGCAAATTTCTGCTCCATCAGAGTATCTATGAAGAGAAGACATTTCTGCCAACTTGCACTACGAACTTCGTTGTCTCTTTGTTAAGAGGACGTAACGACATTTTCAAAGTGGCAAGATTTCCACCCCACTAGGTACTTTTATTTTACCGTAAAAAGGTCGCCCATTTTGACCAAAAATTTTAATGAGTTATTTTTTTTTTTTTTTCATATGGAAAAATCGGAAAAAATTTTGAACAGAAAATATACAGTCATATTGTTGTAAAAAAATGAATAACTTGAGTAAATTTTGCAATTTTGAAATGAAGTCCATAAAACGACGGTGATTTTAGTAAGAGGTCGACCAAAAACGCACTCGCCCTATTTCCTGTTTCTCCAGGCGACAGTTCGAGCCTGCCGCAAGAACGTCTTTCAGTTTCTATCCCCCTTTGGAGAGAAAAGTGTAAGATATGACGCACTGGAGAGGAAATAAAAATAACTCGGTTTTTATGTTCCAATGTGTCAGTTGCACATGCGACGCGAATGAAATTCGATGGTTTGAGTTGAGAGGGGATTTTCACAAGTAGCGGTGGGCGACAGCCGATGAAAAGTCCTCAAACCTCTTTGTCGGAAGAAAGCAGGATCTAAAATTCTCGGCGAAGCGGCAGAACGTAAAGGTGCTCGCAAAGATTCTGTTTCTCATCTATTCATTCATTTAATCATTTATTAATTTATTTATTTTTTATTTAGACATGTAGCCTCCTTGACTAGGGCTATGGTGGTTGTCCGGTTGGTAGGGGGACGTTCATGTATTACGTAACGCACATAGCGGGAGGGGGGGTTGAAACCAGCGTTACGGTACGTTACCCGAGGGGAGGGGATTAAGCCCATCGTTACGTAACAAATCCGAG